TATATATATATATATATATATATATATATATATATATATATAGCGAAAGAAATTGATTGCCCACAGAGCCTGTTGAAATGCGCCTCATGGTATGTAATAATAATAGTAATAATAATAATAATAATAATAATAATAATAATAATAATAATAATAATAATAATAATAATAATAATAATAATAGTGTAGTTTTGCGGGTAGTTGTGGGTAGGAGATCGAAATTATTTCTTAATATGAGGAAGCCATAATGGTCAATAAAATACACATTTTTTATTAGTATTTGATAGTGTCTGGGTGTCGACTGATCATGACGAAATCGCCAGAATCTCGGAGGAATTCGGAGCTAGCGTTTTCCGACGAGGTGCTCATTCGGCAAGGGATAGTGCAAGTTCACTGGAAGGCATGCAAGAGTTCCTCGATTTTCACCCAGGTACGTTTTTATGTTAAGCCGGGCACTTACTGCGCCCAACGGCCGACGCGACGACGCGCGCAACGGATCATTTTTAATGAAGATCCTCCTCAGACTGCCAGCGACAACCAGCTCACAACCGGGAGCGAGGTTGGATTTTGTCGCAATGTGTGCACTGCTTTTAGTCGCAGAAACCAAGCTTAAACACGTGCGCATGGCTTAGTTCCAGTGGTGGCGCCAGGGTGGATATTTTTGCTCCCCCCCCCCCCCCCCCCCACGTCGGACAAGCCTGGACCCCCTGTCGTCTGACGAACGACTAGATCGCCAGATTAAAAAAAATAATAATAATTTGCCTATCCAAATAACGCTATTTTGATTGCCAATCCCTAATATTGTGGTCTAAAAGCACATTTAGGATCAAATTAAGCCATAAAAACTCGCCTTGGTTCGGACCTCTCCGTCGGACACTTCAGACCCCTTGTCGGCAAATTTCTGGCGCCACACCGCTGCTAATTTCATAGCTTGGTTTCCATACAATCGCTACATGCTATCGCCGACAACTTTCCATGATGCTGATTGGTCGGTCGATGGTTGGGGAGCCTTCTCGATGGCGTTGGGAACTGCTGCGCAGTACAACGATTGCAATGACAATGTAGCGATTTCAAGGAAACCATTCTTTAGACTCGTTGACGCATACACACACACACTCAAGGCTACTCTAGGCGTAGTCAGTGGCGGATCCAGGAACTTGAAATAGAGGGGGAACCAGCACTGAGGGTCAGGCCTGTAGGCCTACCACCTCAGCCCACCATGTCTGCTTGGTGGGGATGAGGTAAGAACATTTATGATTAAGGCACAGGAAATGGCACTCTCAGAATTTTGGCGTGACAGGTGTCTAAATTTTCTTTTTTTATCCATTGAAAAAAAAATGAACAATTTAATGGGGCCCGAGTCGGCTCGGCCCCCTTTGAATCCGCCACTGTGCTTCTTGCTTGTCTGACCCAATAAGCACACACACGCTTTGTCCCACACAAACACACGGTTTATGGCAACAATATCGAAGGGGTGGTCCTATTCTGATTGTTCAGTTGAAGGGCCTCGTTTGGCACGCGTAGTGTATAATGTATGACAAGCAGATCATGGATATAGCTGTTGATTCGTTAAACAAGGTGGACTTGAGTACATAATGAATTCTGATTATCGATCGATAATAGATGATAAACCACGAATTGCTCAATGATGTCTACGTGGCTGTATATTCAATGAACATTTTCCTCATTGTGCGATCCCTGTATTAATTTGAATTGTCGTTTATAAAGCTACATTTATAGTAGGCCTACACTAGACAGGATAACGACCCGAAAACGACATAACATCGCGTCTTTTATATTCTTCAACACTCGTTGTTTTGTCTCTATCGGTGGCGCCAACAAAAGAGCAGGCAGTCTGTTGCCTTGCCACAGAAAACTGTGAGCTCAGAATTCACAACCGAGATAGATGCCCTAAGAGAAAGAACAAGACACACCAGGCCCGTAGCCGGGGGGGGGGGGTTATGGTTCGGGCGAACCCCCCTTTTCTAGCGAACCCTACTGTTTTCTAGCGAACCCCCTCAAATTTTTGAATGAGTCCCACTCGGATGGAATGTCTGCTTTTAACTTACCCAGCATTAAATCAAAATTTAGCACCTAATTCATTATTTGGTTTTTAAATTGTAGCCTGCGATACAAGCCTACATTCATAGAATATCTCAGCTTCAGAAGTTCGGAGATTTAAATTGAACGCAACTCCGGCAAACCATGACTTTACGATAGCTCACATAAGGATGGCAAACATCGATAAAAACTTTCACTGGCC